GGCATTCACGGGAGGCCAGAGATTGACTTTCAGAATCTCCCTTGATCACACTCTGACTCTTATATTGAGGAAAGGTTTCTCGCATGAACCCAGAGATCAGTGATTTAGCTAATCTGGCCATCCATCTTGCTCTGGAATCTTCCTGTCTCTACTTCCCCAATGCTGGGATTACAGACAGGCTTCCACACCTGTGTGCCACCTGTGTGTACTGTGAACCTGACCCCTGTATTCATGCTTGAATACCAGACACTTTAGCCACTGAGCCATCTCTCTAGCCTCTGTTAAATGAAGTTCAAAAGACAGATGTTACCACACAGGGACACAAAGTACTTAAATTAAGAAATGAAAAAAACAGAGAGGTCTGTCTGACTAGGTTGTTCTTCAGCTGATAATTCTCCTGCCTCAGCATCCTAAGTGCTATATTTATTTACCATGCACTGACATGCCCAGCCAAAATTAAATTAAATTCAATATCTAAAAATTTTTTATTGGAATTTAGAAGCAAGATCCTTCTCCAGGTCTTCCTTTTATTATTGTTTTTATTTGAATTTGTAAGATTTATGTTGTTCATGTTTGCTTTGAATTAGCATAAAACTTCAAAAGATGCTGTAATTCTGTCTTATTATATTATATTGTTAGAATTTAGTATTGATGTTCACATGCAGAAAAAAAGCTCATTGTATGTTGACACATTTAATCTGCAAAGTAGATTATTCAGTGTTAATTTTATATACATCCTTGTTGATTGTTTTAATTTAAAATAAAAACATCTATAAATATATCACATAACCACAATTATTTCTCCTTGCTTCTTAAAAGTATAATTGATAATTAATACATGATATTTTAACAGGATAAATAATGCATATGTTTTAACAGGACAAGTTGCTACATATGCACACTGTGAGCCAATCACCAAAAAGAGTATTATTTACCGGACTCACCTCGCACAATTATTTTTGTGTGATGAAACCACTTAAGACTTATTCATTTAAAAAAACACATCATCAGCTATAATCACCAACTTTTATGGTAGGCACGGAGAATTCATCTTTCTTAAAATTTTGAAGTTGTCTGGTTATGTGTGGAAACAAAAAGTTGAATTCATGGAAACAGGAAGTCGAATGGTGGTTATCACAGGCTGAAGAGAGGGGTGTGGCGAGATGTTGCTTAAAGAAGATATTTAATTCTAAGACTGTGCTTGTAATTACTTCAAATTAATTGTGAGTTTTTAAAGCTTACTGTAGGCTCTCAGTTTTTCCCTTTCACTACAGGGTAGTTTTATCAAGATTTTTTTTTTCATATAATCAAACTTATCACTAATATTAAAAAACACAAATATGGAAGTTAGGGAATCATGTTTCTGTACTTGTTTCTGCTTATAAAATGTAAATCTAAGTATACCCTTTAACAGCGCAGTACCCATTTACTCAGTAAACATTTGATGAGTTTGTCTTGAGTCCTCAGAAATTCAGTAATCTCTGGATTTACATAGACAAATGGAACATAAATGGTTTTCTATTTAAGGATCTCAAGTATAATATGGGAGATGGATGATGCAGACATGAGTTTAAAGTTTTTGCGGAATGTCATTATTAGGAAACTGAACAGGAGAACAAACTGGGCTAGAGGAGCCTGCCTGTGATGGGTGAGGTCCACGTTTGGATTGCATGGCTTTCAAGCTGAGCACTTGAGGCTAGGAAGAGCGAACCATGTGAGGGACCAGGTGGAAATCTCTACGCGTTGAATATGTCTTATAGAAAGATCAAGAGGCAGAGAAGGTTCTAGGGATAGACAGAGGCAGTGTAACTCAGAAGGAACTGTCCACAGAGTAAGAACCCAAAGTCTTACTGTGTGACAGACGTGATGTTTTCATAATAAGATGGCAAAATGCCTCATTTGTACTCTAGAAGGGAGGTTCTTTTGGCTATATATCATATGCTTCTCATTCTTTTATAGGCTGGGACTTAACTATAATTCCACATATTCTTAGGGAGATTTACCAATCTTTAAAAAAAAATAAATTTGTTTTAAAATTGATGAGCACACAAAATAGTTACCTGCAGTTGAGAGTATTGTAGATGCTAGGATACTCTTTCACACATTAAGGCTATTACAAAACTAAAGTTTTCTTCGTCTTGTCTCAAAACTAAGCCCTGAACCTAGTGGGCCCTAAGCTTTCCATCTCTTAACAACAACCCTGCTGCCCTCCACTGTTTTCTCCATTGTGTTATATATGATGCCTCTGGCACCTCACACAAGAAGGCAAGACTGGCATGAAGCACAGTGGAGGTCAGCTGTGAATACAGTCCAACACAGAACCCTAAGCTGACTTTAAAATTAGGAAAGTTTTCGCTGTTTCATTTCTCAACTCTTTGTAACCCAAGGGCATTGTTCTTGAGCTTGGATTTTATAGACAACAACATACACAGTCTCACAAACAGCTGGACATGCCTTGATTTTGACAGTTCTGTGAGAGCTTATGAATTCGGTCAGGGAAGTGGCTTAGGTTGTGAAGAGCTTGCCTTTACAGTGCTGAGTGCTCATCAGCTCCCATGTTAAAAGGCGGACATGCCACTCACATCTGTGAGCCCAGATCTGTAGGAGCAAACAGGCGGATTCCAGGCCTCTGTGGTCCACAGTCTATCACAAATGGCAGAACTGAGGCTCAGGAATAGACCCAGTCTGAAAACATGAAGTGCAGAGCAATAGAAAACCCTTGAGATTGACTTCTGGCTTGTACGTGCGTGGACACATGTGTATGTATGCACACACACACACGCACACACATGAGCAAACATACTACACACCTCCACAAGGGAGAAAAACAAAGAGTGGAAGCTTATGAAATGACTGAAAAAGCCGTGAGTGGAAGCTGCGACTAATGATCTCAGTTAAGGTATATTAACATATTGTTCTGTGCCTTTTTCACATGCTGTTCTTGCAGGCTGTGACCTTAACTCTGAGGTCTCAGGAATTTAACTGCCTTCTGCAACTATTATTTTTAAGAAGGTGGTTGTATACAAGCCAGGAGTTGACTTTTTTTTTCTCTCTTCCTCCAGGTTTTAAAAGGACTGTGCCTAGTCATATTGCTTGTTCATTCAACCATTTTGTGTATGTGTGTGGGAAGGTGGTTATTTGGAATTTAGTGTTCATACTTGATCATAAGTAGAGAACGACACAGTTTTGGACTTTGTTCCTGTAAAGGAGGAAGGTGGGTGTGGGAGGGTGGCATTAAGGAAGTGAACAAACACATAGAGAGATTGCTGTGGGGAAAAGAGAGGTCACTTTGATAGGAAAACTGGCTGGCTGTGTACTAGTTCATCAGGAAAGGAATAATTATGCAGGTGTTTTAGGGAAAATACAGTTAGTAAGGGGGAAAAGGAGGGTGGAGAAGGGCTTTAAGGCCTCTACTCTCTCTGTAGATATTGATTTTTATATTTTCAAATGGAAAATTGCATGTTCGACTGAATTCGTTTGTTCATTTTCAACGTCAGGCATGCGGGGCCATCACAGAAGTTCTCAAGTGCCCTAATTACTGTTGGAACTCTGAAGGAAGAGGCCCAGTTATTTTCCTTGTAGGAATGGGAGAGAGGAAGAAAAAAAAATGGGTTCAGAGAGGTTAGGCTATGCGAGGATTAAGGGATGTGTGTCTACTGGCTTTTGCCTTTCCTTCCAACTGCTAGTGCTAGAAATGTGGGCGCCTTTGGGTTGTTAGAAGGGAAAAGTCTGCAGAGCATTGCTGTGAGAAGAGCTGGGACAATCCAGGAGAGGCCAGGAAGGAGTGGATGTGGGGAGATCAGATGGAAGGAGGCTGGTAGTCAGTGTGGTTGTATGAGGTTCTTATCAATCATTGATCCAGAGTTTGTATGTGAAACTATTGTATGCACTGGTGAACTTCAATTTTTTTTCCTGTTTGATCATTAGTGTTGGTTGGCTTTCCAGGTGCACACATTTGTTAATGATTAATATAAAAATCTTTCTATATTTTATACAAGTCACAGACCTTTGGCTGGAAAGCAGTGAGAAGAAAAACTCTCCCAGGGTCGGAAAGTTCTTTTTCGATCTTTCACTCTTCAGAAAGCCACAGGAAATTATACTAACTCCTTAAATGGAGAGAGAAATGCTTGATGTTGACCTATTTCACATTTTGAAAAAGGAAGTTAGTGTTGATATCTGTTAAAAGCAGAGGCTCTCCCGATGGCACCAGTCCAAGCCAATAGTGTATGGAGAAGAGGGTACTCAAAGTCTATGGACTGTGTGTGTGTGTGTGCGCGCACGCGTGCGCGAAGGTGCAGGTGGGCGTGGGCTTGTGGCGAGAGGGACAGAATCAAAACAGAAACCAACTTTGTGTACAAAAAGCTGCTTCAGACATCCCCTGTAAAGCCAGAAAAAAAAAATCTCTTTTAAAGTCTAAACCTCAAAATGGGATTATTTTATTTTACCTTTGATTTTTGTCTCAGAATTTTAAACCGCATTTGCCTTTTACACAATCCTATTTCCACTGTATGCTGTTTAAAGAGCTTGTAAAGGACTATCTGGTTTGGTAGGGATTTTCAACATATTTTCATAAAATCAATTATTTATATGTATGAATTGAATTAACAAGGTCATATTAGCTTAGCAACATAGTTTCCATTCACCCAAGATCAAAGCAGAATAAGACACAGGCATAAGTGTAAGGAAGGATGAGCGCATCATGTCTTATGTTCAGTGAGGAATTATCCTCTCCATGGAATGTGGGTTCAGTGGTGGTGCATGTGAAAGCAACGTTGACAGTTGACACTGCTGTTTTTCCTTATCTAACCAGAAACTTTTTGTTCGCACATTTTCTCTGTGTACCGTGGCTAGAAATCCAGACCTGAGCATTGTTACAGCCTCTTGTTACCTCTATTGTCTACAGCACAATAGAATGTACTCAACATAGGGACGTTAAAATGCGTTTAAAATTCACACTCACAGTAATGGAATGTAAAATAATGGTTTCGTATATTTTACAGAAAACGCATGTTTCAGAAGAGATGGGTGAAATTTGATGGCCTTAGCATTTCTTACTACAATAATGAAAGAGTAAGTACATTTACAGTCTTCAAACATTATTTTGTGTACACTTAGTGCACTTTAGAAAACTTAACTAAACAGTTTGGCAATTTTTAGAATAGAAAATAGATTATCAACAGGAAAAGAACTGGAATATGACACCAGTCACTTGTCACAATTTAACTTCATAGACACGTACAATTAATATTTTAGCTGATGCATCTAATAGTTTTTTGTGGAGCATCTTTTATAAACCGTAGGAGATGCTATAAGCTCTGTAAAGATGAATACAGAATTGCCTTCATCCAGAAAAGCACCAAGGGATATATACAAACCACATGATAAGTAGAAAATTGAAAAGCAAAGAGGGTTTGTCTCATTCTCTCGGAGTGAGAAGGGTTTGGATGAGATTCTGTTTGCTATGAGTTTGGAGGAAAATAAGTTTGTACGTGAAGAAATGGGAGAAAATAAGAATTATTTACAGAAAGAATATGCAAGAAGCTTGCATGGGAAAGTGTTGGTCAAATCACAAAGCATGTAGTGTTCTCTGGATGTTTAGGGAATGAGCTCTGGGAGGGGACACTGGCCGTGTAGTTGGTCCACTGAGAGTCTTGTTTCCTGGTGACAGTGGCAGAGAAACGTTCCCTGGGGAGGTGGGTGCTAATGTATGGCAGAATTCTAGGAATGTCTTCCTAAGCTTTGAGAATGTCCTTCTTAAAAGATACGGGCTGAAATATTTGTGAGAATCATTATTATTTCTGAAAATGGTTAAAAAAAAAGTTACTTGTGTCTTCATTTATATTTGCCAGTCTGTGCTCGTGTCTGTGTGCATGCATAGTGAAATAGAACCAATTCTGTATTTTATACAGTTCCATGGTACATGGTCAGCCCTCATGTCCTAGCTCGTGCACTAGTGCGGACTGAACCAGCTGATTCAGAAATACATAAAGGTTCCATCTTGACTGAACATCTACATAGTTTTTTTTCCTTTTTCTCTAAATGATACAATTATTTACATAGAATTTCCATATAAGGTATTATAAGTAGTCAGGAAGTGTTTGGGCATGCTGGAGGATGTTTGTAGGTTATATGGAGGCACGAGAGCATTATAATTAAGGGATTGAGCTTTTGTGGGTACTGGTATCTGAGGAGTTTCTGGAATCAGTCCCTCTGAGATACTGAGGGATAGTGTTATCTATTGTTAAACCTCGAAATGACATGGAAACCACTACATCACCTTTTTTACTTCTGCTTGGCCATTTTCTTAGTGACTAGGTGAAAATGATAAATGTATCATGGTTTAAGTACTTAAAATGAGACCCTTTTCATTCTAATTATATTTTATCCTTAAAGTTTTAATTTTATGACAAATCTACATTCTTCATATATTCAAATTCAACATTGTCTTATCATTAGAAGTTTATACTGCATAATATTTGTGATGTTATTGGCTTGAAGAGAGACGTGCTATTACTGCTGCAAGCGTGTATTTGTTTATATGTACATGTTTATATATATGCTTATAGACAGAAGTTTCATAGCTATCATGGTGAGAACAGTAGACAGCTTCAGGTTGTTTGGTTTCATTTTTGCAGTGACCTAGATTACAAGTTGGTTTAAATGAACATCCTCACGGGTGCATAGTGGTAGAAGGAATGTTTTCAGTCATTACTTGCTATTTCTAGTTTGTTTATATGTTTGACCATCATGAGGTTTCACATGTGTCCATGATGTACACAGTAAACTCAGTGTCCTTCAACCTGAGAACATCATTTTTATTACCATTTTTCTCTTTTTTTTAAAATTTTTCATAAAATATATGAGTTTTGTTTTTTTGCCACTTTCCCAGCTCCTCCCAGATCTTTCCATCTTCCTCCCCACCTAACTTTATGTTCATTCTCTCTTAAAAAAAAAAAAAAAGCTAAAATGAACAAAAAGCCAAGTAGACTAAAACAGCATCAAAATGAAACAAAAACCCTCAAGAAAATTAGCTTCACTCTTAAAGATTAGACTCATAACCGGAATGAACTGGGGGAAACTAATTGTCAGTTTCCTTCAGCATCTGGTCTTCTTGGTCTGATTGGAGTGCAGACGAAATGTGTTCAGGAGTGGGAGGCCTCCTTGTCTGGTAGTTTTGCTCTACTCCTGTTTAAGAAGGAATTTCTACTTTGTGTTCAAGTGGACTGGTTTTTCTCTCCATCATCTCAGAGTGCATCATTCCTGCAGTGTAGGGAGCCTCTTTTCATTGCATTTCAAATATTCATGCAACAAAAACTTTTATTAAAAGTTTATGCCCATGTGATCTCCTAGAAGGTATTTAACCGGGTGCCATTATTTTAAAATATTCCAGTCATACATCTCTTCAGTCATTTCATTCACTGCCTCCAGATGGTTGATTTCATCTCGTCAAAGCATTCCACCGTTGGGAAGTTGTTTCTTTTTCTTTTTGTAATTAATTTGTATATTCAATTTGCATCTAGGTCAGAGGACCTTCTCTCCTCTCCTCCCATACCCACCGTCCCTCCTGCATGCCCCTCCTCTGTCCCCACCACACCCCAGCTCATCTGTTCACATGAGGGCTGAGTTGTCTTCTTCACCTGTGTTCTGGTAGGGAAGACCCATCAAGGGGGGGGGGGGGGAGGGTGATCAGAAAGCAGGCAACATAGTCCATGTCAGAGATAGCCCCACTCCCATAACTAGTGGCCCCATGCGAAGCAAGGCCTGCACATGGGCTTCATATGTTTAGAGAACCTAGGTCCAGCTATTAAAATCAACAAAATCATAAAATTTGCATGCGAACGATGGAACTAGAAAAGACCGTCCTGACACAGTCCCAGAAAGACACACAGTGGTATGTACGCACATATAAGTAGATTTTAGCCAGACAGTACAGGGAGTTGTTTCTTAAAAGAGGAAGTTGGTCCTGGGGCCCCTCTAAAAAGACATGCGCTTACTACTGGCAGCTAGAGCAGTTTAGCAGGTGTGTGAGTGGAGCCTCTGAGTCATGAATGTCTCTCCATGTGCCCTACGTGTGTGGTTGGGTATCACGAGGAGGTGTGTTCCAGTTCGCTGTTTTTCTTCTGTGTTCCTCAGTGTGGTCCAGTGATGCCTCCATAAAGACTTCTTCTAAAATAAGTAAAATTAAAATTAAAAATATTTTAAAAGAAATTTATTTTCAATCAGGGTAAAAGATATAAATCTCTCCTCAAAAATTAAATTAGATTGTTTATTGGGGAGCAGCCTTGCTAGGTCACAGAGGAGGAAAATGCAGCCAGTCCTGATGAGACCTGATAGGCGAGGGTCAGTTGGAAGGGGAGGAGGACCCCCCCCCCCATCAGTGGACTTGGAGAGGGGCATGGGAGGAGATAAGGGAGAGAGGGTGGGATTGGGAGGCAATGAGGGAGGGGGCTACAGCTGGGATACAAAGTGAATAAACTAATTAATATAAAAATTAAAATTAAAAAAAGAAAAAAATGAAAAAAAAACCCACTTCTTCATTTTATTACTGAAACACTGTCATCCACACAGCCTTGATATGTGATCTCCTGCTAGAAATCTAACTCACTCCTGTTCCCACTCATCTGTGGGCAGAATTGCCCTGTGGTTGTTTCATGTCCGAAAGTAGCAGATAAATGACAGATTTGGCCTAGATATCTGTGTGGTAAAACCTTGAGGGACACTTTAAGTTTTTTTTTTTTTTTTTTTTTTTTAAGAAAAATTTCACACTTCAGAAAACAGGCATTTTTTGAGCCTGTTATCCATGGAGGATTTTACTCTTTTTACTCTGTATTGTCTTTATATTGTTGTTACAAGAAAAATATAAAATCAACCCTATAGTGCTGAAAAAAATCTCAAGTTTTACCTGAGATCTCCTGATAGATTATAAATGAATCATTAGATAACCTCTGGCCTTGTAAGGCTGAGCTGACACAGTGTTTAGTTTGTAGAGTATATTTTGATCACTTCTTTGTTTAACACATTTCTCTACCGCAAGTCATTACCTGCTGAACTTAATTTCACGGTTATTTATAGGCATATAGTTTTTTTTTAATGAACTTCCTGCTAATCTCTTCTTGTATTTTTTTTCTCTTTTTAAATTTTTTTTCAGTCCTATTTGGATTTTCTTCACTGACAAATGGGTTAGAAGTAGCACAGAAAAAAAATGTTAATTATCTCATTAGGGAGTTTTTTCTAAGCTATTATAATTCTTAGTAAACTAAACTTTTGGAAAACGCTACCAAGGTAACAGTGTGTAAATGTTTTTAGACATTTAAATTTTCCCACTGTCTTGTATCAGCCATGGCATATATATAACAAACGTACCCATAAGCTATCTTAAGATGCTGTGCTCCCTTCACCTCTGTATTTTCCTGACACTGTAAAGACATTCTCTCTCTTTCTCTTACAGTCTCTAAAGCATTTAGTGGTCTACATGGACCTCGTATTTCCATTTTTACTTCCTTTGGTTTCCAGACTTTCTTTTGGCAAGCCAATCATGTTACATGTTTCTTTGTAACGACCTCTGTGGCTGCATGCTTTGCACCATCTCCTTTCCATAGGTTCACTGTTCGCATGTTCTTTTCTTCTGTTTGGACCTCTTTAGCTATTGTTAGCCATTGAAACTGTCGTTAGCTATTAAAACTGTCGTTAGCCATTAAAACTGTTGTTAGCCATTGAAACTGTCATTAGCCATTGAAACTGTTGTTAGCTATTGAAACCTACATGAGGACCTCTAGGGTGGCTCACCAAATAAAGACAATTGCACCCAAATCTGAGGACCTGAGTTCAGTTCCTGGGTTCCACACAATAGAAAGAATCAACTCCAGCAAAATTTGCTCTGACTGTCACATACATCGACATACACATACACAGAAATAATAAACACAGAAATAAATTTATATTTTTAAACCATGTATAAACTTCAGCCATCTTGGTTTTCTTCTCCATAAACCTCTGCTTTATTTTTTCCAGCTGGATGACAGTTGGACTACTATATGTCAGGAAGCCTATGAGGAACACAAATTGAAACAAGGGAGGCCATTCAGAAGAGTGTTACACAGACAGGCCAAACATGGCAAAACAAACAAACCAAAAAAAACAAAACAAAAACAACAAACAAAACATAAAGAATACCTAAACATTTAATTGAAAAACATCAGCAATCAAAAATGAATCCTCTAAAATACTCCCTTTCCTGTCCACACACACACACACACACACATACACAAATACCTTGCAAGAACAGTTCTGTGCTTTGAAGAAACTGAGGCCAGAAGACTTTTGTTCTGTTTTCTTGGTGCATTCTCACAAGCACTCAGAGTTCTCCCCACCTGACTCTGTTCCTAGACTATGCTCTCACAGTGAGCATGAAAGTTGTAGAGAAAACTGAGAAGTTTGAACTTGCTCAGTAGTGTGTTTATGCGGAACCATGAAGGGTCATGATAAAAATGGCGACCATTCAGAGTTGAGGAGTGGTAGGAGCAGATGGCCAGGGTGTGTGTGGTGAGAATCTACACTGTGTGGAAGGATCCACTCACGTCAAGGACTGTTACACCCATTTCAGAGTGGAGCACTGGAAAAGATGTATTTAATTTCCCTTTATTTGTTATTACATGTGTACGCGTTTCTTGCATGTGTACACATCTCTGCACCAGATGCATGCATGCCCATGGAAATCAAACGAGGGCTTTGGCTTCCTGTGCTAGGTTTGTCTAGAAGAGCAGCCAGTGCTCTTAACCTCTGGCCGTCTCTCCACCTTCTAGAAGAGTGATATTTCAGTGAACAGGTGGGGAGCAAGGATATATTTTCAACCGATAATGAATTAATTTTTAATGTTGGAGGGACTTAGGCAAAATTACACATACTACTGACGACTCAAAATACAGGAGTCTAATTTAGAGAAATGTATAGATGATGAAGGGATGGTGGGAGGAAGGGAAGGAAGGATGCCAGGTCAAGTGAAAAAGAATGATTTTAAATCTGTGCACATAAAGTTGGTAGCTGAAATTTAAGAAGGTATTTTTCTCCCCCCCCCCCCAAAAAAAAAGGATAGAAACAAGAAAGGAAAGCAAGAAGGAAAAAAAAAACCTCACTTATTTTGTGAGTGCTTTTTCTGTCATCCATCTCCCTGTGTGAGTTTGTCCATAGGCTCCTAAATCACCAGTAAGTGGCATGTCATTTTTGGCTACATGAGAGGATAGAGGAAACCTGTGTGTTGTATGTATTTACAATGCTATTAAAGTTTCAATATTATTTGGTAGACACATCAGTTCAGGGATGCCATGTTAGAAGAGTGAAGGAGAGTTGTTAATGTAACTGAGGAAGGTACCAGGTCCATCTGGTGCATGTCTAGGTCCATCTTCCCTGACGGCTGTTCCTCGTCTGCCTGTGAGGGCAGAGGGCGGTGAGTGGAGTACTCCCTGCATGGAATGATTCAGTATATTCTCTTCTAGACGGTTTTTTTGCTTATACGTTTCTGCTCCTAACTGTAGTCTCTCTGGTGTGTTAGTTTAGAACAGTGGTTCTCCACCTTCCCGATGCTGTGACCCTTCAATACAGCTCCTCATGTTGTTGACCCCCAACCATGCAGTTATTTTCATTACCACCTCATAACTGTAAGTTTGCTATGAATCATAATGTATATATTTTTGGAGGTTTGCCAAAGGTGTCACAATCCACAGTTTGGCTTGGACTTTGTGATTATGTGGCAGAATGCTTGACATAAGTGGAAAGAAATTTATTTGGGGTCTTGGTTTCAAAGTATTCGGTGCCATCAATTCTGAGCTAATGCAAAACAACATGGTGGCAGGAATACAAAGCAGAACCTACTTCGTGGTGGCCAACAAGCAGAGATCAAGAGGCAGGTGTAACCTTCAAAATACCCTCGTGATGACACCCATAATTCCCTACTTCTCTACTTCTTAAAGTTCTACCACCTTCTAAAATACTGCTAACAGCTGGCTCCCACATGTTTGATATATGACCTTGAAGAGGACTTTCAAATTCAGATCATAAAACGTAGCGACTGCCCTGCGAAAGAATGAAGAATAAAAACGTTAAGAATCTGTGGAAACTGCACACTCCTCTGATATTCAGACATTTTAGATCTGAGAATGGTTTCACAGTGTCATCTTTCTTGACAACCCTGCATTCTTTATTATTTATTTTTTTGGGGGGGTCTATTTCTCATTTTTTGTTTCTCATTTTTTGTTTGTTTTTATTCAGTCTGTCTGCCCAGAATTCTGTCTGCCAACCTAGCAATTTTATGAAAGTTAATTTTTTAAATTTTTTATTTAACTTTTATTAATTACACTTTATTCATTTTGTATCCCCTGTAAGTCCCTCCCTCCTCCCCTCCCAGCCCCTTTTTTAAAAAAAATCAGGATCAAATTTCACCACGTTTATAAAACACTTCTCAAACCTTTAAAAGGAATTGAGGGTTTACATTCTTTTGACTTATGTATCCCAAACTTTGAATTCACTTCTGAACATAAATTACCTGGTTTCTGACTGTGTGAGTCTTATGTTTCTTTTGAATACAGGACACAATAAATATTTCATTCTCAATAAACATTGAAATCACTGATGGTTATTCTACCCAATGGTTTGGGAGTTCTAAGAAAAATAAAGATTGAGAGAAAGCGGTCAAGAGTCTTGCTGACCTCGGAAGCAGGAGTATACATGGGTAATTGCTGCTTCTGGTAGCAGGAGCACCTTTCTTCATTTGTTGTTGTCCAATGACATCGTCTCACTGTAGAGCAGGCTAGCCTCAAACTTGTAGCAGTCCTTCCATTTCAGCCTCCCAAATTTGGATATTAAAGGCATAAACTATTGTGCCTGTCTTTTTACAAGTAACCCAGCATGAGATCAAAGTTCTCATGGTCAGAGCACTGAAGATGTGGCTAATTAAGGAAATCTGAGAGGCTCCTGAGCTCTGCCTCCTTCTCTGGTGCAGCAGTGTTTCCAGATCGTTCTGTGACAGTTCCCGTTGTGACCAGCAGATGCCTGCAGACACCATCGAATCACTGGGACCAGAGCGATTTAGAGAATGTGATCCTGTGCTTAGGAAGTGTATATTGCTGATCTATTATGGTTATGTGTATTTGTTGCTTTGCCTTTTAAATCCAGATGACTACAAGATTTAAAAGGCCATTTCTCTTAAAAGCACAGGACATTTCATAGTTCATATTTGCTTGTCATTTTAAATTTTTACATAAAAATCATGAAAGGAAAACAGTTGTGAATGCAGAGCCATTCTTAGATTATAATGTGCCCAGAATTTCATGCTCATCTGTCCTCGTCCTTTCCTCTAACTGATACAGGAGATGTATTCAAAAGGAATAATTCCCCTCACTGCAATCTCCACAGTTCGGGCTCAAGGAGACAACAAATTCGAAATTGTTACAACACAAAGAACTTTCGTTTTCAGAGTAGAGAAAGAAGGTAAGATTGTTTTCCATGCCTTCCCCTTTCTTCTCCTCCCTCCTCCATCTCTCTTCTAAGATTCTGGCTGTGTTACCCAGGCTGGCACAGAACTCAGTATTTAGTTCACACTGGCCTTGTACTCTGCACCCTCTGGCCTTGTTTCCCCAAGCACTGAGAATTCAGGCACACACCACCTGTGTCTAAGATCATTTTGTTATCACTATCGAGAGCCCTTCATTATTCACAAATCAGGTTAATAAAACAGATAAAGAAAAATATAAAGACTCTTTGAACTCTATTATATTCAAATAATTCATATTTTAAAAGGTGGGGTTTTTGGAACACATAATATAAAAGCCTAAATAAATTGAGTCACTCCTTGGGTGGTTACTGTTAAATACTAACATCATTTAGTCAGGAGCTATTAAGTATGGGGTATTTGTTTAAACTGTAGCTATGTAACAGTGAAAATGAGCAACAAAAATTTCATAGAGAGCATTTTAGTGTGAGAATTTAGATAATGCAAAGTGGATATTTAATACAAAAACAAAAATGTCCTGATTATAAACAAGTTATTTTAGGGAAGCTTGCATAGGAAGTTCTTAGCCAAATGAACCAGCACAGTAATCTTATAGGTTTTTTAGGCACTGAATTCCCTGAATTATTTTCATGGGAGTCCTGTACTATGGGGTTCCTGATGTAGAGGTGGCGTGTAGGGCAGAGAGGTGGTTCAGCAGAGAGAAATACTGCCTGCTGAGAAAGCTGACTTGAGTTTATCCCTGGGAACCATATTGTGGAAGGAAAGAATTGCTTCCTACTGGCTGTCTTCAGATTTCCGCATGTACACGACACCAACTCCTAAGTGCATGTGAGCACAAAACACACACACATGAATATAACAGTAGGGATGTGACATGTGCTTTGCATTGTGTCTAAGGGGTGCAGAGAGTCTTTCTGAATTTGGTTAGTACAGGAAGGAGAAGTAATGGGAAATGAAGGTTCTGCCTTGTGCATTTGCTTGATTCTCATGATGTGCCATGACTATAAACCTCCCTATTTCACATAATACAGGTAAGGCTATATCCTTGACTACACAGTAAGAGATTTGCCTTGTTTTAGGAACTATTTTGGTGTAACTTTATAACTGACCCAATTGCTGTCTTCATGTGCTCTATTTCAATAATAATTGTGCGAGGAGCTTGCCTAATACTGTATAGATTCCAGACAGAGTTGAGCATCACAGCAGCCTGGCAATGCAGCTTACATGGTTATTGTCCCGTTCTTCACATGCGAGCGTCTGGCAGCCGACGGAGACTACTGTGATGCTATTGATTGAGCAGCAGCGTTGCCCTTAGACTCCTCCAATCCCAGAACATGTGTGAACATATGGAACAAAGAAAGCATTCAATAAATATATATATTTCTAGAATGTTCTTCTTATTACTGAAGGCAATCAATAGTGAGTATGCCCAGCTGCCTGTCACGGAGCAGTGCTTTTTCAGACCTTGATGATTTTTGAGCTCCAACTAGAAGCTTATGTTGCTGCTGAAAACAAAATACCACACTAGCCCCCAAAACAGCATAAAAAATGTCAAATAGCATTGTAGGGCATGTGGCATTATATAACAGTTCTGTGTAGATGTTGTACATGGATAACAGAAAGCATTTCATCTTTCTCTTTGTGTAATTTTTAAATATATGTACTTTAATTTTAAATGCATTTTTAACTGAAGTATAACCACAGTGCTTCCTCACTTCTATTTCCTCCACCCAGGTACTCCCAAGCACCTGCCCAAACTCCTCTCAGATTTCCATGTTCCACCGTGAAGCTCAGGATATGCTTCTCTTCCCCGATGATTATTGTCACACACACACACGAACACACATGTATTCACAAATATATAAATACAGCCCGCTAGTTCAGTTTTTGTTGGTTGTGTGCATATGGTTTTAGAGAGGACCAATTTGTATTGGATAGCCAGTTAGGATGCTCATCCCTGGAAGAGGCTTTTTCTCTCTCTTGGCGATCATCAGTTGCCTATAGTCCTTGTCCGGGATGTGAACCTGTTAGAATTGTATCCCTCCTCGGTAACATGTCTGTTGGTATTGCTGTTGTTCAGATCTTGTTTTTTTTTTATTTTTTAAATTTTTATTTTTTATATTAATTACATTTTATTCACTTTGTATCCCAGGTATAACCCTGTCCTTCAATCCCTCCCAATCCCACCCTCGCTCCCTCATCTCCCATGCCCCTCCCCAAGTCCACTGATAGGGGAGGACCTCCTCCCCTTCCACCTAGCTTTTCAGATCTCATCAGGACTGGCTGCAATGTCCTCTGTGGCCTGGCAGGACTAGTCCAGCCACTTCTTGGAGAGAAAGTGTCACATCAGCAGACTTCCTGGTATTCTGGCTCTTAAAGTTTTTCCTACACCCTCTTCTACCTTGTTTTCTGAACCATAGATTCAGTTTTCTGTCCATCTGAGCACATTGCAGGTTCTGTTATTCAACTCTACGCATCAGACAGTGCCCCAAGGCAGTTCTGACTCTGATACCTGAGAGGGTTTTAATTAAACAGTTTATTAGACCTGGCATAAGAAATACACCCCAGTTGTTTGAGAGAAGCAGTATTGTAAGTACAACATGTTCAGAAACAAATTATTAGATGTTTTCTAACTCTTCATTTTTTACTCTCTTTATTCTTGTTAATGGTAACTCTCTGCCCTGTTGGGTACCTCATACTATTATGGAAATCTCTTAAAGATGGTTTAGGACTGTGCTAGGATTCCAAAGTTCTTTAAAAGTATTATATTACAAATAACAGATTTTGAAAACATGAAACAAAGAATGCAGAAGTGTGTATCTGCTTTTCACCACAGCTGTGGTCGGACTTCCCAGTAATCTTAATAATATGCTGCTGGTTCTAGGGAAGTAGCTCAGAGATAAAGTAGTTGCTGTGCAAAGGTGAGAACCGAGTTCCATCCACCGTCTACAGCAAGGCAGGGGCAGAAGCAAATGTCTCCAATTCCAGTGCTGCTGTGGCAGAATGGGAAACAGGTAAAGGAGAATCAGAACCTTCCCAGGCCAGCTACTCTGTCAGCAAACAAGAGCCTCTCACAAATAAGGTAGAAAGCAAATGCTGATGCCCAGGCTGCACTATGACCTCCACACTGACACCATAGCAGGCATTCTTGTGTATACACACACACACACACACACACACACTAAAGGTGTCCACTAAAACATTTGCCCAGTTTCAAACTCTCTCTGTGTAAACTGTTCTGCAATTTGAATGGCCAGTCTGAAGCAGTCAGACTGCTTCTTTTGCTGTATGATGTTTTCTCTTGTGAATTAATCAGAATTAAGGATTTTATTTAAAACAAAAAAGTATTACAGGGACACAGATTTGGTGTTGAAGAACTCATGGGTTAAGGTGACTGGATGTAAGCGTGCTGTAAGTGTGCACTGCCACCTGTGTCCTCCTGTGTCCTCCTGTGTCGTCCACCTGTGTCCTCCTCTTGTATCCTCCTCCTGTGTCCTCCTCCTGTGTCCTCCTGTGTCGTCCACCTGTGTCCTCCTCCTGTGTCCTCCTCCTGTGTCCTCCTCCTGTGTC